AATTTAATTAAATTTAAGAAATAGATAAAATAAATTAAATTAAAAATTAAAATTAATTTAATTTAAAATTAAAATTAATTAAAAAATTAAATTTAATTAAAATATAGACAGTTGACTGAATAAATAAGTGCTGGAAATATGAATTTCTTTACAAAACTTTGACTTCTCGAGTTAATAAATGTAATAAATTATGAGATCAATAGTTTTAAAAGGGGGGTTGCAGGTTGACTTAGCCTACAATAAGTTAATATATTATTATTACATTACTATGAATATAATTAATATTAATATTATTCATATCTTAAATGAGGCATTTATATAGCGCTTTGTGTATTGCTGTACACCCAAACGTTTTATAATGAATTGTATTACTATATGTGATATTAAATTATTCATATCTTTATTATTCATTAAAATTAAAGGTATATATATTTAATACACATATATCTTAAAATTAAAAATGAGCATTACTATTATTAATTTTATTAATATATATATTTGTATAATATTTATAATATATTTTTTTATTTAAATTTCACATTAATTGTGTTTAATTAACCAATATTCAAAGGTCATGTGCATTAAATAATATTAACAGATCTTTATTCACCACTGCTTAAAAAGCATCCCAAGTTTTTTGGCGGAAGCAGAACTTTTATTTTGACAACGCAATGCCACAAACCTTGTAAACTTAAGTGAAGCAAGCCGTTAGAACCTCTTATGTGCATAACCTGCATAAAAACATGTCAAAGTGTTATTTAGCATGTTTAAATGAAATCGTGTGTTTTCATATACAGTGGGTACGGAAAGTATTCAGACCCCCTTAAATTTTTCACTCTTTACATGTCAAAGTGTTATTTAGCATGTTTAAATGAAATCGTGTGTTTTCATATAAGCCTATATGAGCTTCATGTCATCCGTCGGTAAGATATCAGTCAACCACTGGTTAAATCTACTCAGTACAGGTAAAAAAGATGAAGAAAGAGTCATCATGACTAAAACTCATCTACAGAATTTACACGGAAATGCTCATTTAAACGACAGCAAACAGGACAGTTTGGTACAACGAGCAGCAGCAGAACTTCACAATCTAATCCCGCTCCAGCTCTTCCGATGGCCTTTGCATCAGATGAAAGGAGATGATGTGAATTACGCCTCAAAGCCAGGATCTTATGACCGATCTTATGATAATATGCATGTGGCATATTAGTGGAGTCCTGCAGGATCAAGCGCAGGAATGGATGGATTTTTGTAAACACCGCACAGAACACCAGATGCTCGGCCTTAGAAATTAAGTTCTGCTGGACTCGTGAGAAGAAGGACTCTGATCGCATCAGATAGCATTAGAGAGCATCGGAGGGAATCATATGAGTTTCCACTGTATGGAAACATCCAGAGAGAAATCTAATCAGCAGAACAACAACGACAACAATGCATAACCCTTCACAAACATGATTACAAAAGCACCAGACTACTAAACACTGAAAGAAACAGCTGTATTAAAACATTAGGTGAAAAACTAGGAAACAAGGAACTGGAAATAAAATAAACTAAAACTGAAATTTTATCTTTTTTTTTTTTAATATATTATCATTTAGGTTTAAACGAAAACTAAAAAGTAACACAATCACTAAAAAACTAAGATAAAATAAATGAAAGTGGGTCAAAGACGTTAAGATGTCCGCATCAAAAGAAACTGACAAAAGTGATTTTAATGTCCATAGAAAGCACATTAAATGTAAGTAAAGTGTCTGCTTTTAAGGTTTCAAATACGTTTTTGGAGAATAAAATGTTACAATTTGGTTGAAATAATGTTATAACCCTTCACAAACATGCTTACAAAAGCACCAGACTACTAAACACTGAAAGAAACAGCTGTATTAAAACATTAGGTGAAAAACTAGGAAACAAGGAACTGGAAATAAAATAAACTAAAACTGAAATTTTATCTTTTTTTTTTTTAATATATTATCATTTAGGTTTAAACGAAAACTAAAAAGTAACACAATCACTAAAAAACTAAGATAAAATAAATGAAAGTGGGTCAAAGACGTTAAGATGTCCGCATCAAAAGAAATTGACAAAAGTGATTTTAATGTCCATAGAAAGCACATTAAATGTAAGTAAAGTGTCTGCTTTTAAGGTTTCAAATACGTTTTTGGAGAATAAAATGTTACAATTTGGTTGAAATAATGTTGCGTTGTCATTCAGTGTAACATAATATTTATGTCAAAATTCAAACGACATGCTTATTCTGACGTGTACATATTAAAATATATAAAAGAATAAGGGAGCATATTAAATTTTATTGTGTTTTAAATGAATAAAAATTCTTACTGACAAATGGGCAAAACCTAGGATAGTGGCACATTTTTAAAAATGTAAAATTACAACTAATTAGTATTTGGGGTGAAAGTAATTAGTCTTTTAATCAACGTCACTTATATCATCACCGCATCTCGTGCGCCACTGATGACGCTCCCTGACGCACTCCTAACATTCAAATGTTTATTTTAAATTTGACTAATATTCATTCTTTATTCACAATCTCCTCATCACAGGCAGCACAGCACTCAATTCAGCATGTGTTCGTGTTTGTTGTGTGCTGTCTGCGTCACTCATAGTACGTGGCCTATATCGTGCGCTATATCCAACATTAATAAGTGCAGTTACTAATAATATTACGTTCATTTCTTGTTTATTTTTCTTTTGTTTATTGTTTATACAGATTTGACACTAAAGCACTAAGCTTGAGTTAAGATGCATACAAAATTTACTTTTATTAACAACAGTAACGGGTGCAAAATCTAATTTTTATATAGAAAATGTATATATTCCACTCTTATTAAATGTACCATTATTCTTCTAGTATATGGAACTGACCAACTTCAGTGATTATGTGTGATTTAGTAGCAAATTGAAGAAAAGTTTGTTTTTCAAGGTTACGAATATGGAAACATTTGGATTTGTGCCGAATGAGACGTGAGGAATAACCTCCAAATACATCTAGCCAAACCCGCGCTCGCTCCGTCTCGTATGCACGCACGCACGCACTGTCACGATCTAATGCACTGTAAATGACGGATTTTTAAAAACAGCCTACCGGAACGCAAACATTTTAAATCTGACATTTTCCGGAACAGGGTCCAGCAGGATCAAATTAAGTACTGGTCATAATACTCACATAAAAATGTTTCAAGTGAACAACAGTGTGTTTTGCTGCAGCAGCGCTGATGGAAGCGGTTCACTGACTGCAGCCACACGCGCCACAGTTACGTTTGGGATAAACTTTTGAACAGCAGTGTATATATATATATATATATATATAAACTCAGAACTAGCCTACAATTGCCTTTTTTATTCTTTTATCCTATGGTGGAATTATTATTAATATTATTAATAAATTACTAAGAAAAAATATGAAATATTTATTATGCATTATTATAGAATTTAAATGAGCCTAGGTGACAGCAGCGCTAGCGGACCAGAGGGACTCCAGGACACAGAGACGAATCAGCAAAGATCTGTTTCTAATCATCATCTCATGCTGCCACTTACTGTCAGGAGAACTTGCCCAAAAAAACATGATTAAGAGCTCGATAAGTCAATTTAGCCATAAATCAATTTAGCCATAAATCAGAGACGTCCAGACCCTGTATCTCAGGTATGAAGATGTTATGAAACTCCTGAACATCCAGAGACAGCTTCACTCATCACTGATCCTGCTTTAGAAGTGCATTCATTGACGAAAATGATTAAAACTCTTAACAGGAATGAAACAAACCAACCTGCACCAAGTGTTCAAATGTTTGGGGTCAGTACGATTTTGTTTTTTTTAAATAAATTCATACTTTTATTCATCAAGGATGCATTAAATTGGTCAAAAGTCACAATAAAGACATTAAACGTTACAAAAGCTTTCCATTTCAAATAAATGCTGTTCTTTTGAACTTTCTATTCATCTGTGAATCCTGAAAAATAGAATGTATCACGGTTTCCACAAAAATATAACTGTTTTCAACATTGATAATAATCAGAAATGTTTCTAATAATCAGCATATTAGAATGATTTCTGAAGATCATGTGACACTGAAGACTGGAGTAATGATGCTGAAAATACAGCTGCGCATCACAGGAATACATTACAGTTTAGCAGATATTCACATAGAAAACAGCTGTTTTAAACTAATAATATTTCACAATTTTTACTGTATTTTTGATCAAATAAATGCAGTTTCGGTGAGCAGAAGAGACTTCTTTCAGAAACATTAAAGCATCTTTCCGCCCACAAACATTTGAGCGAGTGTAAATAAATCACAACATCTGGTACAAAGCAAAAAAGCATTTTAAAATCATTTAAAGAGAAAGCTACAAAACTCTTCAGTGAGTGAATGAATTGTGACGTCACTAAACCATAAACATAATTATTCGCTAGTCATTTCTAAGGATGAACTCTGTAAACTTTTCCCACATTAAAAACGTTTTACTAGTGCTGGGCGGTATACCGGTTCATACCGAATACCGGTGTTTATTTTTGTTATGATATGAATTTTTAAAATACCGCAATACGTCGCTTAAACAACGTTGAGAACGCGACACTGTTTGAAAGAAGTCCCTTTTCACTGTTGCACTGTGGTGAGGGTGAAAAAAAAATACCGTCATGTACCGTGAAACCAGTATAATTTAGAAAAATACCGTGATATAAATTTTTGGTCATACCGCCCAGCACTACGTTTCACACAAAGAAACGCGCCACAGTTTTGAAAAACCTGTTTAAAATGATGTTCACCCACATTAAACTCCAGTCATATCTAACACAAAGCCTGATAAAAGCTGGTTTATTTGTCCTTTTTGACATATCTGAATACTAGTTGCACAACACACTCATTCATTTCTGCAATGACACTGAAACCACAAACTGCTGCTGCTTCTACGTGCCGACACAAACACGTTCACAAATAAAGCAACAACAATGACGTCTCTGATTAGATGACAGGAAAACATTTCTTTAAGTCCAACTCTAATCAGAAACACAAAACCCACATCTGACAAACCGTGCTGAGCATTTCGCCGCTAAACCGGTGAACTTCAGTGAGTTTCGACTCGACTGGATGAGCTGAGACGTCCTCAGAGTCTCCCAAAGAGCATCAGAGAACATCCTACGCTATATAAAAGCCTCCTGAAATATGCAGGTGAAAGGCATCAGCCGTATCACAGCACTGGTTACTCATTCATCCAGGACGCCGCCCTCACAAGACAAACACAGAGGAGTCTATGAGATTTTACACCTCCATTACTCACCACATGCATGTTTAGTAAGCGTGTACTTCATGTGCTGTAATGCATGGATTGCTCACATGTTCAGCTTTGAAGTGCATTAGAATAACCATGGCACGTCAATATGGTAATAATTCATTTGCAAGGTATATATAGTCAAATATTACCATTGAGACCATCAATGCACCATGGTACTACTGGCTTAATAATTTTCTGTCAGCTGAGAAAAGCAATCAGCTGGCAGCATAAGGTAACCACAGAATTACAGTAGTACAGGGATGCATCAGCTGATAATACCACGGTACTTCGAGATATACCCTGACACTGAAATGCATGTATAATAGTATTTATATGGCACTCTAATGCAGGGGTTTTTAAACTGGGGGATGCAAGGGAGTGCAAGGGGTCCATGGAAATAAAAAATAAAAATAATTAATTTAATTAATAATAAATAATTAAAAATGCATATAAAATGTAATTTAAATAAATGCATAATTTGAGTAAAATAAATAAAAATTAGACTAAAATAAGAGCGAATAAATACAGTACATTAACAGTGCTTTAATAAATAAATAATAAAACGGAGGTTAAAATAAATAATAAAAATTGATTAAAATAAATACAAAATTAGAATAAGTAAGAGTAAATAAATACTTTAATAAATAAATACTTTTTTAAAAAGATTAAATAAATAAATTATAAAAAATAATTTAAATAATTATATATTTAGATTAAAATTAAAATAAACAAAAAAACTAATAAATAAATGACTATAATTAAATTAAAATAAGTAAATGAATAAAACAATACAGTATTATAACAGTCATTTAACGAGTAAGTAAAAAACATAACACAAATAATATTATAAATATAAATAAATAAATGATAAATAGTACTTGCAAATAATATTTTCGATATAGATAGGCTCTTTACACAACTACAGGTATACCTATTACATTTTAGGATGTGGGAAACTCACACAACGATAGTATGATATTATAAATAAATCTGGGTGTCCATTGCAATTTTGTTTTATTTTATTTATTTTTTTGTAAATGAAAACATCTGCTCTAACGTACTTGGGGAAAAAATAGCATGGTATTGTCACTTTATATGTCCTTAAATCAGGGCAGTGCCATACAGACAATTATATAATAAATATACTCTTACATAATAAAGCACGGTGATAGTAACATGATTAGGGATGGTATCAGATGGTACTTAGATTTATACCATGGTAACGTGATTCATTCACGACTACTCCGTGAGGTATTGCCATGGTACATGTCCAGAAAATGAGGAAAAAGGAAAGTACCACACATATACCATAGTAGTTACATAAAAATCAACATTGTATATGCTATCATGATACCATGGCACAGTCACAGGACTTTACTGTAAAGGTTTGTATCCACGTAAGCACTTCAAACCAGCCGCGCCACACAAACCCGACCGACACCCGCTCCCCTTCGCCTCAGAGCCGTCTGTCAGTCAACTCGAGCTCGGGGATCCTCCGCGGCCTACACTCTTTTCCAGCATTATAGCGAGTCAAACCCGCTTACACTTCACCAAAACACACCGACTGTCCGCGCTACTCACTTACCTTTGAACCTCAGGTCGGTGGAAGGCTCTAAGATGAGGATCTGCTCCAGTTTGGACATGTTTTTGGCCGGTGAGGTGACGCTTGGATCCGGAGAGGAACTGTTAGCGCGAACCCTTCCACTGAGTCACTGCGCGCGGCACGGGAGCGCGCTGCGCGGTCACACGACACACGGGAGCGCGCTGCGCGTTCACACGACACACGGGCACGCGCGGGGCTGTCTGGTTTTTTAAACTCAATTTATTATCTTTATTGGTAAATAAAGTAAATTAAATATATGCTGTAATCTCTGCCCCGTGGCTACTGTACCCAAAACATTCTTACAGTTTAACCCTCTATGGTACAGAGTTGCCATATGGCAACAATTAATTTCTATTAATTTCCTTGTTATTCTGAAAAAAAAAATATATATATATATATATATATATATATATATTGCAATATGTTGAATATGCTGCTCCAGAAATTGCTCTGTTAACCTCATTTCTGAACATCTCCTCTTAAGGGGGATTTTTTTGCCTCATGTTTGGCAACATTGTACCACAAAAATCTGTTTTGGTTTGTATAATTGAAGCTATTTGTGACCTTGGACCACAAAACCAGGTTTGTTAGGATATTTGGCCTCAGTTTGAACATCTGGAATCTGAGGGTGGAAAAATAAATCAAAATATTGAGAAAATCACATTTAAAGTTGTCCAAATTACGTTCTTAGCAATGCATATTACTAATCAAAAATTACGTTTTGATATATTTACGGTATGAAATTTACAATTCAATTTTAAATTGTAGAAAATATCCCATAGTTCTGCACAAAATTACATTTTAGAGGGGAAAAAAACTACCGCGTAATAAACATCAATCTTTATTTGTGCTGTTAAGCGTGACGGGACTTTTATTTGCGAAAATCGCCGTGCGTGACATCACGTCGCTCTGACGTCATCACGCCGCGCCGCCTGCCGCAGTACGCCGTGTACACATGTGAGCAGAAGCACAGTGGTAAGCTCAATATGCTGTTGTTATTTATTAGTAATGTGTTCATTAAATGTGCTATGATTAACAGTGCAACAGCTGATCGGGCTGATTGATCTAGTGACTCTCTGATTGATTGATTAACTTAATCAAAACTCTCAACTGGTCGATTAAAACGCGTTCGTCGCTCGCATTATTATCAACTTTTCACGTGTTTTGTTGATTGTAACATAACAGTACTGTGGTAATATAGTTTTATTCTTTAAAAGACCATGAACATACTCTAGTAACTTGGTCTATATCAAAGTACCATGGTATCACCGTAATTGTGTTTTTTGGGCGTTTACCATGGTAATACCGTGATTAGTATTGTTTGACTGCCATGTAAATACGACTCTGTATTAATAATATGGTCATTTATTCTCTAGGTTTAATAAAAACCCGAGTTATCACTACAAAAACCTCTGTGGCTGTACCATATCAGTACCGTGGTACTGTGATTTATGATTTCTCAGATAATAAATGCATGTATTTTCAGTAGGGCTGTCCATTTTTAATCTAATAATTACATGATGTGTCTATTAATTAATTTAATTAATCGCAAATTACATTTGACTGTGAAAATACCCCCAAAAGATTATTTAAGTCTTCAAAATACCTTCTTTTGTGTTCCACAAAAGAAAGTAAGTCATTCAGGTTTGAGTAAATGATGACATAATTCAAATTTTTTAAGTGAACTATTAACTAGTTTTTTTTTTTTTAATGAAATGATACTCTAAATAAGAAACTAAATCTGCCAGCAGGTGGCGGTAAATGTCTGAGTCATTCATTCATTCGATTCGTTCGAACGGCTGATTCATTCAGGAATTCAGTAAAGGACTCTCTTTATGAATGGATCTTTGAATCATTGATTCACTCGATTCGTTCAAAACGCGGATTCATTCAGAAACTAAACAC